AGAGGAGGAGCCCTCGATTGGTTCCAGCAGCTCCCCCTAGGTTCAATTGCAGATTTCGAGGATTTTTCGGAGAAGTTGATGAATCAATATTCGAGCGAGGTGGCTCAGGAGAAGACGTACTTAACCCTGATGGCGATGAGGCAAGGCGAGAAGGAGTCACTGCGCAAATATGTAGCCTGATACAACCTAGCCTGCTTGGAAATCCCATCGGCGGTCGATGAAGTCAAGGCGGGAGGGTTGATTAGAAGTTTACGAGCAGGGCCATGTCGGATGTCTCTGGCCAAGACCCCGGCTCCTACATATGATGAGGTGTTGAAAAGGTGCAAGAATTATATTAATCTCGAGAGTACTGAGGCGGAGTTTGCCAAACTCGAGGAGTTAGGTTGTGTGGAACCAAAGAAGGAGAAGGCAGTCTCGCCCAAAAGGAGAGCTTCGCCTAAGAGGGAGGGGCGAACTAAACAGGATTGAGGATGCAAGGATAGATGGAAGGATCGGCCTATCTTTGGAGGAAAGAGATTTCATGATTATACTCCGTTAAATGCGAAGGTGGCCGAAGTCTTGATGGCTATGAAGAAGGGGATAGATGGGAAAGATGTGACGTGGCCGAGGTCGAGGTTCGAGGGACCAACTCAGCCTAAGTCCAGGAGATATTGCCACTTCCACAAAGACTTTGGCCATACCACTGAGGATTGTTTACACCTCAAAGACAAAATCGAGCATCTTATCCAAGCAGAGCATCTCAAGGAGTTCGTTTATCAGGATAGGTTGAGTGGGAAAGAGAAGAGGAGGTGCCGAGAGGAATCGGTGGAGAGGAGTGATCGCGATGAAGATGATGAGAAGGATCCTCGAGGAGGTCGAGATGGTCGAAAAGAGATGAAGGGAAGAGGAGGCGAGGAAGTATAGATCGAGAGAGATAAGGAGAGGAAGGCCAGGTGAAGAGAGGCACGATATATATGATCTCAGGAGGACCGACAGACAGAGACTCGAATAATGCTAGGAGAGGGCATGCTCAAGCGATGAAGAGGAAAAGAGAGGAAGTGGGTATCACGGCCCGAGTACCGGAGATTAGTTTTCGGGCGGAGGATGCAGTAGGGGTGGTGATACCTCATAATGATGCCTTGGTGATTACGGCGGAAGTTGCATGTTTTGATGTGAAAAGGGTGTTTATAGACACGAGAAGTTCGGTCCATGTCATGTTCTATGATTGTTTTGTGCAAATCAATCGGGAGTTGAATGTGGAGTTGAAGCCAGTGGCTACGGCCCTGTACGGATTTAACGGGGGAGAAGTTATGCCAATGGGAGAAGTAAGTCTATCTGTAGCTCTGGGAAAAGGAGTGACCCAGAAGGTCCGGATGGTAAGATTTGTGGTCGTCGGAGCTGAATCATCTTACGACATCATAATGGGGAGGACGAGCTTGAATGCATTCCAGGCGGTTGTATCCACGTACCATATGACGATCAAGTATCCTGTGGGCGAAAACGTTGGTGAGATTACTGGGGATCAACTTACCTCGAGAAGCTGCTACCAGACCACTGTGAGCAATAACAAACAGCTAGCGAGGAGGCAGACACAGCTAAAAGAGGAAGAGGTTAGTCGACCAGGAGGGTCGAGATCAAAGGAGGACAGGCAGAGGTTGGAGAAGGGTAAGGAGAAGGTAGATATCCAGCCAGGAGAGAAAGTTGAGGAGATCCAGATGGTCGAGGGGTATGAAGAGAGAAAGTTCTGAATCGGGAAAGAATTGGTGGAGCCAGTGATATCGAGGCTGATTAGCAGGCCATATAAAGGAGATCCAGTTCCCGGAGTGGTTGTCGAACACGGTGATGGTCTCAAAGTCAGAAGGGAAGTGGCGGATGTGTATAGACTTCCAGGATTTAAATAAGGCATGCCCGAAAGACTTATACCCACTACCCAGGATCGACCAGCTGGTCGATTCCACGACCGGATGTGAGTTACTCAGCTTGATGGATGCATGGTAGGGTTATCACCAAATTCCGTTGGCGTGAGAAGATTGTAAAAGGGTCAGTTTTGTGACAAGCCGAGGAACCTATTGCTTTGTGGTAATGCCATTCGGTCTAAAAAATACAAGAGCAACATATCAGAGATTGGTGGATAAAATTTTTAAGGAACAACTGGGGAGGAACATCGAGGTGTATGTGGACGATATGTTGGTGAAGAGCAAAGAGGAGATCGACCACGTGAATGACCTGAAGGAAACATTCATGACCCTTCGGAAGTACGGAATGAAGCTGAACCCCACTAAATGCTCATTTGGGGTCAAGTCCGGGAAATTTATGGGTTACATGGTCACAAAGAGGGGAATCGAGGTGAACCCGGAGAAAGTAAGAGCGGTGGTCGAAATGAAACCCCCCACGAAGGTAAAGGAGGTGCAGATCCTAACTTGTCGAATAGCGGGCCTGAGCCGCTTTATCTCGAAGGTGGCCGAGAAGAGCGGGCCCTTGTTCAAAACACTTAGGAAAAGTTCGAGGTTCCAGTGGACAGAAGAAGCTCAGAAATCATTTGAAGAGTTGCAGAGAGAGCTAGTCGACCTGCCATTGTTAGCAAAACCGGTGCAGGGGAGGACTTGGTGTTGTATGTGTCCATTGGCGACACAGAGGTGAGTTCGGTGTTGCTGCGGGAGGAAGGGATGGCCCAATTTCCAATCTATTACGTAAGTAAGGTGATGCAGGGTGCAGAGAGGAGGTATTCGGAGATAAAAAATGGTGCTTTGGCGGTGGTTGTCACCGTCAGAAAATTGAGGCCATATTTCTTGGGTCACAGGGTGAAAGTTTGGACTAATATGCCATTGGGAGAAATGCTGGGCCGACCCTTTGTATCAGGTCGACTGGTTAAGTGGGCTGTCGAATTGAGTGAATACACGATTGTTTATGAGCCAAGGAGGGCGATTAAGGCCCAGGCGCTGGCCAACTTTATACAAGAAGGGACAAAAGGAGAAGAGGAGTCTGAATGAGTTTGGCAGGTGTTCATGGACGAGTCGGTGTCAAGGGTTGGAGGCGGCCTAGGGATCGTGATCATATCACTAAAAGGGGTGAACCTTGAGTTCGTGGTAAAGGTGGCGTATCGAGTGTCGAATAATGAGGCAGAGTATGAGGCAGTCATTAAGGGGCTTGAGTTGGCCCTAGCCGGAGGAGCTCCAAAAGTGCAGATACATTCAGACTCCCAACTGGTGGTGGGCCAGTTTCAAGAAGGGTTCGAGGTCAACGAGGATAGGATGATGAAGTATGTAGAAAGGATGAAGAAGCTGCAGAAGGAATTTGATTCTCTTGAATTAATCCAGATACCTCGAGGAGAAAATGGTCGAGCGGAATTATTGTCAAAAATCGCGTAGAGCCTGGTCGACTGCAAAAGCAGAAGTGTAACCCTGTTACACATGGAGAAAAGTGCAGTCGAGAAAGAAGTGGCCGAGATAGAAGAGGTCGAGGATTGGAGAGCCCCGATAATCAAAGATCTGAAGGATGGAGAAGTTAGGGTTATAAGGAGGTTCTTTGAGCATGGAGGGATCTTGTACAAGAGTTCACATGCTAGGCCGCATTTGTGATGCGTGACCAGAGAGGAAGGGCAATATGTGCTGAGAGAAATGCATGAGGGGTGTTGTAGTGATCACAGCAAAGCAGGCTCTTTGGTAGCAAAAATCTTAAGGGCATGATATTTCTGGCCGACGATGAGGAAGATGCAAAAACAATGGTACGAAAGTGTTTGCAATGCGAAAAGCATGGCCCTCTCATTCATCAACCGGCCGAGGCAATGACGACGATGAGCGCTCCCATCCAATTTGCACAATGGGGTATCGACCTGGTGGGGCCCATGCCTCAAAGAACTGGGTAAAGGAAATTTTTGATTGTGGCGGTCGATTACTTCACAAAATGGGTGGAGGCCAAACCTTTGGCAAAAATTACAGAGGAAAAAGTGATACATTTTTTATATAACAACATCTGTTGAAGGTTCGGAGTCCCCAAGGTGTTAGTGTCAGATAATGGGACCCAGTTCAATGGCAAGCGGATCCGAACATGGCGCGAGGACATAAAAATCGAACAACACTTTGCTTCAGTCGCTCATCCGCAAGCCAACGGACAGGTCGAAGTGACCAACAGGATCATACTGAATGGTCCCAAAACAAGGCTGGAGAAGGCATCAGGAGCATGGGTGGATGAGCTTACTTCGGTCCTATGCGCATACAAAACAACGCCCCGATCGACCACCGGGGAAACACCGTTTAGCCTGGTTTACGGAATGGAAGCTCTGTTGCTGGTCTAGGTCGAGGTCCAATCCCAGAGATCGAGCACATACGATCGAGAGCATAACGAACACCCGATGATGGCGGCTCTTGATACAATCAAAGAACTCCGTGAAAAGGCCTCAATCAGAGTCGAAACCTATAAGCAAAGGATGAGAGCAGCGCACGACAGAAAGGTGAAAGTACGAAGGTTCCAGGTGGGCGACCTGGTTTGGAAAAGAATCGATGTGTTGAAGCACGTTGGAAAACTAGCGCCGAACTGGGAAGGGCCATACCTTGTCGAAAAAGTCCATGCTGGAGGAGCATACTCTCTAAAGGATGCTGAAGGAAGATCTCTAGCCAGGTCATGGAATGTGGCTAACCTGAAAAAATATTATGCTTAAAATTTTTCTTTTTATTTATAGAGAAACTCACTGGAACCAATGTAATGAACTCCTTTACTCGATAATCAATGAAATGGCATATTAGAATTTCTACAATTTACTGTTTATCGAACTATTTTATATAGCTGGAATGCCTAGATTAACCCTGATGACCACTCCCTTGAGGGTGGGCATGTGCTCGAAGATAAAAATCCATCATGATTAAGGCCAAGAGGCTAGATGGTCACATGTAACGACTACTCCCTTGAGGGTGGGCATGTGCTCGAAGATAAAAATCCATCATGATTAAGGCCAAGAGGCTAGATGGTCGCATGTACGACCACTCCCTTGAGGGTGGTCATGTGCTCGAAGATAAAAATCCATCATGATTAAGGCCAAGAGGCTGAATGGTCGCATGTAACGACCACTCCCTTGAGGGTGGGCATGTGCTCAAAGATAAAAATCCATCATGATTAAGGCCAAGAGGCTGGATGGTCGCATGTAACAACCACTCCCTTGAGGGTGGGCATGTGCTTGAAGATAAAAATCTATCATGATTAAGGCCACGAGGCTGGATGGTCGAATGTTTCGACCACCTCTGAAGGTGGGCATGTGTTCAAAATTAAAAACCCATCATGTTTAAGGCCATGAGGCTGGATGGTCGCATGTTTCGACCACCTCTGAAAGTGGTCATGTGTTCAAAATTAAAAACCCATCATGTTTAAGGCCATGAGGCTGGATGGTCGCATGTTTCGACCACCTATGAAGGTGGTCATGTGTTCAAAATTAAAAATCCATCATGTTTAAGGCCATGAGGCTGGATGGTCGCATGTTTCGACCACCTCTGAAGGTGGGCATGTGTTCAAAACTAAAAACCCATCATGTTTAGGCCATGAGGCTGGATGGTCGCATGTTTCGACCACCTCTGAAGGTGATAATGTGTTCAAAATTAAAAACCCATCATGTTTAAGGCCATGAGGCTGGATGGTCGCATGCTTCGACCACCTCTGAAGGTGGGCATGTATTCAAAATTTACAGCTACACTGATAAATACAAGTTAAAAGACGAAAAATGTGTTAATCGCATACGAGTTCACTCAAGTTGCCCCGTTAAGAAGTTATACAAGTGTATCAAATCAGGTCATCACAAGCATCGCCAAAGATAGAGATAAATTAAACAAAACATTTCAATTTCAAGGAGATCAGGAAGAGTTCGCACATTACAGAAATTCATTCAAA